CCACTATGTCTACGGTCGCAAAATTACACTGTGGACAGACCACAAACCACTGGTTGCTATCAGACTCAAACCTCTCAATGCAGTGCCAAAAAAGCTGCAGCGTCTTCTCATCCGCTTGAACCAGTATGATGTGGAAATCAAGTACAAGCCAGGGCCAGAAATGTACTTGGCTGACACACTGTCTCAAGCATACCTCCCACAAATGGACAGATCACCCACTGAAATTGCCGTGGAAAGTATCAATATGGCAAACTTCCTACCAGTCTCCAAGCAACCACTTGCTGAAATCAAACAAGCCACAGCAAGTGACTCAACGCTACAGCTGGTCATACAACAAATCATAGTAGGGTGGCCAGACACAGTGCACAAATGCCCGCCTGAAACACAGGCATACTTCACTGTTCAACTCAGGACAGTATAGTCTTCAAAGGCTATCGCTGTGTCGTACCCAAGAAACTGAGAGCAGACATACGACAACATCTTCATGCTTCTCACACCGGCTTACAGAGCACTCTCAGACGGGCCAGAGAATGTGTATATTGGCCTGGAATGAGCAATGACCTGAAAGACTATGTTTCCAAGTGTGAAACATGCAATATGTAACAGTCCAGCCAACCTAAAGAGCCACTGATCAGCCACGGAATTCCTCAAAGACCATGGGGAAAAACTGGCTGTGACCTTTTTACACTGGGAAACCACGACTACTTATGCACAGTTGATTACTACTCGGACTATTTCGAGATCGACACACTCTGATCGACACAGCAAAGACGGCACTACCATCATCAAGAAACTAAAGAAGAAAAAGCACTTCTCCAACCATGGCATACTAGACACCCTGCAGTCAGACAACGCCTCCCTTCAACTCATGACAGTTTGAGAACTTTGCCCCGCAATAGGGATTTGACCACAAGATCAGTTCTCCTGAATACCCGCAAAGCAATGGAAAAGTCGAGAACGCTGTCAAGATTGCCAAGCTTCTGATCAACAAGACCCAACACACCCTAGGTGGCTTTTACTTAAACCTACTCAACTGGCGCAACACACCAACCGAGGGACTCAACAGTTCACCTGCACAGCGATTCCTCGCCGGTGCACTAAGACTGACACCTCTGTAGCCAGTAAACTACTCCAACCAAAAATCATACGGGATGTTGCCTCCAAGAAAACCAAGAAACAGGCCAGTCATTCTACTACAACAGAAATGCTGCACAACTCCCTCCTCTGAGTGAAGGAGAAACGGTGCTGTAAGATCCGAGAGCCTAAACTTAGATATTGAGCCAGAGAATCACACACTGTTTTTGTGGCTGTCGTGACTTCTGACTAAGTGACCTTTGGCGTTTATTCTCGATCAGTATGGGGTGCCTTAGGTAACAAATTTGGATGAATGAATACTACATCCCTTTCCACCTTGAATATTTAACCAGGTCGAGTTTCAGTACTTACTTTTACCCGACAGGTTCCCTACTCCAGCATTCATTTCATAACTTTTGTAAATTACTTGCATGTCACTTTGTCAGCCATGAGCGCACGTTACGTTACGATCGATCATCATAGAGCTATTTGCCTAGCGCCCTCTTGCGGCCAACTAAACTTTTTTAGCACAGCGCGCGCCACCAAGAATATTGCCCGCTACTTTTTAAACTATGCAAAGGGCGTTTAGCGCAGGCGAGTTTTACATTCCACCGCGCTTTGTTTAAGTTTAATTAGCTGGCATTCCGGGTGTTTCGTGGATTTGGATCCAACACCTCATTGAATCCAGACCATAATTTTCTATCGAGCACTGCACTCTCCACAACAAATTTTGGGTGCGGGTCCCGGCTGTCAGCAGCGTCGCAATTTATCCGGCATTGCCGGCATTGCCGTTTTTCTATAGGTTTCTGCTGCTGCTTCATTGATTTGACATCGACAGCCTGGCATGAACGTAGATTATCCCAAGTGATCTTTGGATAGATCTGGACAGCACATTTCCATTCCCTTTTGACTGTCATTCTTATATACCAAAGTTCTTGTATACTATCATTCTTTTGTAAACGCCTGATATAAATTTGTATATATATTGTCTCATATTTTTGACATCAATTTAATTGTGCTGTAAATAAAATATTTTGATATATTGAGACAACCAGAAACTTTGCTCCACCCAAATTATTTAGTGGAACCACTCGGTTGTGAGGAGAGTGGCACATTTAAACTAATTCATTTCGCTCTCCCCGGTTACAAATAGTTACGTATATTTGAAAATGGAATTTGACGAATTTAAAGATGATGATTGAATAAAACAATTTTGAAATAAATTCTGAACTGTTCGAGTGTCCTTATTTTCAGAATTAATGTTAACCAGGTTACACATTTAGCAGCCATTTTAACTTTAGATAACAACATACAAGAACAAAATGTGAGTATACATTTTCTCAACCTAGTGGTACAGGTGGACAGCGGTTTCGTGGAGCGGTTTTCGTATGTGTGGTGGTAGCCATGTCGTCAATGTCAGACTCGTCCTGCTGGGGTGGTGCTCTGGTTTGGATGCGTTTGTATCTCGAGACGTTGCGTGTGACCGTGTGAGAGCTGTGCTGAGCTGTCACCATCGATCCCTTCTTAGCGGTGACTGTGTAGGGATGTGTGTGGTATGGGGTTCGGTGTTTCGCGACTAGGCCATCGCGTCGAACAAAAACAGTATCACCAATGTTGATATCTCTGGGGCGAGCGTGTTCTTTGTTGTCTGCTTATTGTTTCATTGCCGCTTTTTTGCGTGTGTCACGGGATCAAACGGCTTTGGCCTGAGACTTGCGTGGAGTTGCAGGGAGACGGGTGCAGAGTGGCCTGTCATAGAGTAGTGTAGCAGGTACAACTCCTGTTGTGGCATGCAGTGTTGCACGGTAGTTTTGCAAGAACTTGTACAGACCTTGCTTCCATGGCATTCCATCAGCGATTGCAGTACGATATGTCTTTTTTACTGTTTTCACGAAGCGTTCCACCTCCCCATTGGCACAGGGCCAACGTGGGGTGACTTTCCGATGATGGAACCCCAGGTAGGCTGCGAAGGATAAAAACTCCGTCCTGTTAAAGGGTGGTCCGTTGTCAGTGCGGACTACCTTTGGTATGCCGAATGTGGCAAAGATGATCGAGTTTGAGTTTTGGAATCACCGAACGTGCTGAGGTGGAAGACACGATCTCGATTTCAGGGAAGCGGCTGTAGTCGTCGATGACTACTAGAAGATGTTCTCCTGTTGGGAGATCACAAAAGTCGATGCTGACTTCCAGCCATGGGCCGTCTGGGAGTGAAGACATGTTAAGCGGAGTCCTGGTTTCCAGGCATTGTCAGCTGTATTGACGAGGGTGTCCATGCTGGGAAACCATACTTTCTCGCGAAGTAACTGTTTAGTCTTTGTCATGCCTTGGTGTCCCTCATGGGCATTGTCGATGATTCGTTGTGCGAGTGCCTGTGGGATAAACTGAACATGCCCACCTCTGGTATATTTACCAGTCAACACCATAAACAAACAGAACTATTCTCTACATTTCAGTCTCTATGTTATGCACATCAGCTATCAGAGCCTTTTGTTCTCAAACACAAAAATTGGGGGGGGGGGGATGAGGCATGGCCCCGCTGAAGTCATTAAAAAGTTACATTTTCCTTAAATAAGTCTGATGCCAGTAACAAGTCCTATTTTTCCTTGAAAGAAACCTGATTCACGGCAGCAATATTCTCAGAATTTTACAACAAATTAACATCAATTGATTATCCTTGAATCAGGCCTTCACGAACCGGTTTTCTTTGCTATTTCTGCATTTTAAAAAACGCTTCTCTCAAAAAGCACAAGTCTGATTAAAAAGACCCATTGTTGCAGACCCCTGTACTCTATCCCATATGGCTCTGATATTATGTAGGCATGAATGATAATGCCCCTTCCCAATACACTCCTAAAATGGGATCATGCCGTGAAACTGAAAGTGTGCCAACACACAAATCCAGGGAATGTGCAGACAACAAACTTTGTGGAGAGTTGACTCGGAGTTGTATGTTTGCAAACAAATTTGATTCCTACAAACAATTTTAATGTAAAAATGATCCAGAAAATGTCAAAATTGATGGGCCTTGAATCTCTGTTCGATATAATTAGCTAGTCTAAAAATGAAACTTTCATCTGAATTTTCATTTATTAGATCTACAAGGATAAGATATCTTTTTAACATTCTGACTGGACACATGGATGTATTTGTTGCTGAAATTTTCACCAAGGCCTTCTTGTCTGAAAACTTTTATTTAACTATAAAAATATATGACGAATGTAACTGTATGGAGATCACATCTTTTAATCGGGATATGTTTACTGTGATGCAAGAAACTTGCATATAAAATGAGGAGCATGGTACATAATCTAATATCTAAAAGATTGTTCAAAACTGAGTACCTGTCTATGACAGCCTTAAAGATTTCTGGTATAATGGGCTCTTTCTGCTCAACAGGTTTAGCTAACCTTCTTTTAATCCGTGTAAGTCATTATGTAAAAATCTACTGTCACAGGGATTTTCTTTCCAATCCACAAAACAATCATGACACCATTTAAGGCAGTTGAAGACTGATTCAATTCTCGAGAGTGGAGCCCCAATATTAAACAGTTGTGTAAAGTAATGACACACATCATTGGCATTATCCTTCTGGATCAATCAGTAAACAATTACTTGTCGTGCAGTGAATCTCTCTTGTTTGCCACTTGGGCAGTAGAAAAACCGGAAATTGGTCTCTTTAGCTGCATGCATACATAGCATGTAAGTGCTGGCGTTTGGACTCATGGCACAAGGGGAAACACTGTTAGTGCATTGGGCTATTTTAGTGTGCCGCGTGAAAGAGGGTGCATCGGTACTGCAGGCATGCACAAAGGGCACTTTGTTGCACACAGTTGGGCACTTATAGAGCCAAAGTAAGAGTGCGTGAATTCAAAATTGCAAAGGAGATTTTAATAAAACCTGTTTGTTCAATGTTTTTATTACAGATTAAAACATCTATCTGGCAAAATGCAAGAGACCTTACCAGGAAGGTAGATGCAGAATTCCTTCAGCAAATGTACTCACAGAAGACAGAACACAGTATTTCCGAAGCAGTTGAGAAAGGTATTGGATTTAATAATTGTTCCATTCAGTCTGTATGTGTTGATTTTGCTTCCCCTCCCCTTCCCCCTCCCCTTTGACCATTTGCATGCCTGCTGCGCATAGGTTCCTTCCAGTTCTGAATGACACCTCCCCCCCCCCCCCCCCCCCGTCATTTTGCACACGCTCTCATGCCATGCTCGGATATATGCTTCACTGAATGGGTATTGTTACGTAAATCCACCGTTCCTTTGCGTGCGAGAACAGGAACATCACAACAAAGATGTGAAGTACAACTATGCGTGGGAAAAATCTACCACTTGGAATTCAATCCGATTTGGTAATCAAAACCAGACATCAGAACCAGCATTAAATAAATAGACCTTTCAGGTTATTTTTTAGGAATCAAACAGCAGGAAAATATTAAAATGGGGTAAGAATTCCAACCACATTGCAAAATCCTGTTTGACCCCAATGGAAAGCCGTACTCTGTGGTAAGGTTTAGTTAAACCCTGTGTCAGTGTTCTCCCCAGCGCCACCACCCTACACACACTTGAGCAGCACTTTTTGTATTTCTTCTTTAAGTGCTACAACTTTGTCTACTGGCACACGCACCTGCATGTGCTCGGAGACAGTTTCTGAACCCAAATAAGTTATAGTTTGCTGTGGGCCATCAGTCTTCTCAAATGCAAGATGAATCCCCAGTTGTGAACACATTGCTGAAAACTCGTCCAGCAGGTGTTTGCATCCAGCCCATGACTTGTCAACAAAGAAAAAATTATCCAGGTAGTGAGTGATTGATGACGACCTTTAAATTTCACAGATGCAAAACTCCAAAAATGTGCTAAATTTCTCAAATAGTGCACAAGATACTGAACAACCCATCGGTAAACATTTGTCAAAGTAAAATTTATCTTGATATGTAAGACCCAGTAACTCACAGTCTGCCGGGGCTACTGGAAGCAGCCGAAATGCAAATTAAATATCGGACTTAGCCAACCATGCCCCATTACCATTTGCATGAACTTTTTCAACTGCTTTATCAAAAGAAGCATAATGAAAGACACATAAACCCTTATCAATAGAGTCATTAATAGACCCACCCAGCTGGAAATGAAGGTGATGTATCATACGTTAAGTACCAGGTTCATGTTTGGGCACCAGCCCTATAGATAAACATTGCAGTTGAGGAAATGGAGGCCTGTCAAATGGTCCAGCTAACCTACTTAAATCTATCCCCTTAAAATATGCCCCAAACCCAAGTGAACCGGTGGCATCTGTAAAAACTCATTACATCAGAGTATTCCCAGTCTTATTTGTTTCAAATTGGGGTAACGCCATTTTATTGTCACAAGAAGGTAAGCCACATCAGCAAGTTGAGTTTTCCCCCCTGTGTTATGTGAACCCTATGATGTGGGAGCCTAGTACCCTTTGTCATGGAGATACAAGTGCCTTATACAAACAAAGTTGAGTGAACCGCTAAGCGATTGAATCTTAACTAGAGTGGACTTAGGCTTCCCAAGCATAGTACAAATCTGGTTAGTGATTGTTGTAACTTTGTCCATTTGAACTCTAACCTGTCATTGAACCTTGTCTATTTCTAGTCCCAATAAAGTCAGTACCTGCCTTGGACCTTCATTTTTTCCCCCTTGCAATAGGAACCCCCAGCTCATTGCAGGCAGTCCAAAAGTTACTCAAGCATTCTTGTCTAGATAATGCGTAATATAGCCCTCTTGTGCCATTTGCTGCACTCTGAATTCCAGGAAAGTGCTAAACTTTTCAAAAAGCATGCAAGAAATTGCACACCCCATTGGAAGGCATTTATCAAAGTAAAACTGGTTCAAAAACTTAAAGCCTATTTGCCCATAATCCCTGGTTAAAACCGGAACAGGCGGAACGCTGATTAATGTCAGATTTTGCAATATATGCGCCTTTTCCTGATTGCACTACTGTTGAACTGCGACATCAAACGATGTGTATTTTACTCTACATTGCGCACTGTCAATAAAATCATTAATGGAACTGCCATATGGAAATGATAGTTGGTGAAATAATCGAAACTCACCTGGATCTTTCTTGGGTACTAATCCAATTGCAGAATAATGTAAGTTATCAAAGGGGCAGGCCATAAAGGGCCTGGCTATGCAGCCCGCCTAAATTTCTCTAGCGATTTTTGTTTAACACTATCGGCTGTGATGATGCGGAATGGAGACAATCTCAATCCCTGCAAACCCGCGGGCCATTGTAACCTAAAGAGAATCCCTTCGAAAAACCCTCTCTTAAAATTGTTACCATTATGATGCAGATTAATTGGCGTTGGGAGCATGAAAATTTACTTTACTGGCTGCGGCCGGTTGAGCATTCTTCTTTATGTTTGGGAAGGAGTTGTCTAGCCTCATCATGGGATTTACTGGCGCAGTCTATGAGTACGTACCCCTTTTCTTAAACCCCTTTTGCAGACATGCGCGCCGTTTAACCCGCCCTGGAGCATTTTGCACACTGGTGTTGATATCTACAGCCACCAGGGCCATTGAATGCAAAGCATACCCGATTGCTCGTGCACAGCATGGCATTGGGCTGTGTGTTGCTGGCTGAACCAACTGCAGATGTCGCCATGGTTAGCGACAACTCTGCTTCCAACTCCGCCCAAGACCGATTGGGTTGGGCTTCCTGCCGGAGGCGGAACTGTTCATCGTATAAACTCCACCCATAACCAGATCATTTAACAGCAGCCGTGCATTTACTGCAGTTCGATGGCCTGATAAGGAAACTTAATGAGATGGATGGCCATGAAAGCATGGAATGCGGAAACCCACTTGTCCCATGTGTCTAGTTTGTTCGGACGGGCCGATGGTGATGTGTTAGGCCGCAAAAACATCTTATTATTCTCTACAACGAGCCAACCTCAGAAGCTCTGTTAGCCTTTGCAATTAATAATAATAATAATAATAATGAAGATTTATAAAGCGCACATATCCACCTATTAAGGCGCTCAAGGCCCAATAAACACAATAAATCTAATTTACTCAGAAAATAAACATAATACCAATAGAGAGAGAAAACAAATTACAAATTTTAAAATAAGAAACAACATATACACTCTGTTGGTGTCTTGGTGCATTCTTCCCACGTGAACAACATGAACGTCGGCCTACATCGTCAGGCATCTCCAATTCAGATGTAAACATAAAGATGTGGCGAATGCACACCGACACCCACGCCGCTCACGTGATCAGAATGCACCTGGCTCAGAAACAATAAACGGAAAGAAATTTTTAAAGCCAGATTCATTAAGCAAAAGCCAGAGTCATCAGATGTGTTTTGAGGGATGCTTTGAAGGAGAGAATGGAATCAGATGTCCTAATGTGTAGTGGTAGCTGGTTCCACAGTCGAGGTGCTGCTGCTGAAAAGGATTTATCCCCCATGAGCGGTGTGATTGATACAGGTTCTTGGAGTAAACATTTATTACTTGTTCAGAGCGTGCGTGGTGGATTGTATTGTGAGAGGAGTTCAGTGATGTAAGAGGGGGCTTTGCCATTGAGAGCTTTGTAGACGATTTTGGAGCACAGGTGTAATGTGAGCAGACTTTTTTGTCAATGTAACGAGACGAGCAGCTGTATTTTGAATGTGTTGGAGTCGATTTAGCTGCTCTTGAGGGAGGCCGTACAAAAGTGAATTTCCCATGTCCATCCGAGATGTGACAAAAGAGTGAATAATTTGTTCAGTAGAGTTGCGCGTAAGGTATTTCCTAAATTTGCCAATGTTGCGGATATGAAATGAGGCAGAGCGGACGGTGTGAGAGATTACTGCTGCTGCACTGTCAGGTAAAAGAAGAGACATGTCTACTCGCTTTTCCGTATCTTTGGTTTCTCTGACTTAGGGATATGTCCGCCTAGCAGTGACGCCAAATCGATGTGCGGAATGACGGTAGGATTACTAGAAAACCCGTCAACTACAATCCCAGGTTGTGTATGCATAGACAAAAGCGCGCCCTCTCCCCCCAAATATGTAGACCCCAGGGCCGTTCAAACCAACCCTTCCCGCCGAACAGTCCATATTAATCCCTGTGGATGTATTAAATGCACCTCTCGTATCTATGCAGGGAAATGAGCTTGTAAAAGAGACCGGCAAATTCCCACCTGAAATCCCAGTAACTGTGCTCGCACGTTGGACAGGTGTAAAAAAAGATGCACCTTGACTATTGCTACTATCTGTAATCGTATGACCTGTGCCCTGTGATGTTATTCCGGAAGGGATATTTTTCCCCCAGGAATTGCAGGAATTATGTACAGTTCGTTGAACAACTCACCCAACCTGGGGATGGGCTGGACTGTCTTTGTTGGCTGCCCTGTGGTCACCGTCTGGTTAGTTGCCGCTGGGACTCCTGGTCTCCACTGCAGGGCGGATGCTGACTGCACTGTTGCCGGTTGAACGGTGCCTGGTGGGATTGTGAACAACAGATGACTGGATGTTCCTGGCTGAACTGTGGGAGCCGGCTGGGCGGATGTGGCCAACGCTTATGGTATCCCAATCACCGGCGGTGCTTGAAGGACTGGCTGTGTCGGCTGGCTTTGATTCACGGTATATCCTAGTCTGCCTTGTTCTTGTGGGCCATGTCGAGCTCGTTTAGTTGGCCTTCCGCCATCTTGGAGATGAACGGGAGCTTGAATTTTGAGATGTGAGTCTGAGGGTTGTTCAGTGTTCAGCAAAGCTGGTGGTAGTAGAGAGTGGTCAAGATATTTCACGGCGGTTGTCATGTGGATTCTTTGGAAATAACGTGTACAGGATTATAACAGAGTTGAAAAAAAAACTGAACGACCCTCAGACTCACATCTCCTCATGCTGATGGGCTAAGCAATTGCTGGTAACCAGCGCTGATTAGCTGCCCAGAATCTCGCCGCTGCAAATAAAAGGGGGCAATGGTTTCTTCCACGTCAGCAGTTCAGTGGCTGCGTCGCAGGAATTTACACACGGCACTAAAATGGGTATTTGCGTCGAGTGTAATGTATTTTGTTGCTTATGTG